GTGCCACCATGCCTGGTTATCTGGTGTGTATGTATGTGTGTGTGTGTGGGGGAATGGTAGTGAGGAATTTACCCCATCATAAAGATAGATTGGATTCTAAGTTATATACTTATCTACATTATTCTGTTTTTGGTTTATTTTTTTTGGGGGGGTATCAGGGATTGAACCCAGGATCTCTAGCATAGAGGCAAGCACTCTACCACTGAGTTAAATCCCTGGCCCAGTGAGCTACATCCCTGCCCACCCCCATTTTATTAATTTTTATTTGCATCAGTGTTTTAAGAGCCCAAATAGTCTGGGTGTGTTGCTGGGTACCTGTGATCAGGAAGATCACAAGTATAAATAGTATTTAAGAAAGGAGGATCACAAGTTAAAGCCCATGCTAGGCCTGATGATGTAGGCCTTTATGTAATCCTAGCACTTAGAAGGCTGGGGCAGGAGGATCACTACAAGTTCTAGGATGCCGGGCTACCTAGTGAGTTCAAGGCCAGCCTGAACTGCATAGTGAGATCCTGTCACAAACCAAAACAAAAGGGCTGGGGATATAGCTCAGTGGCACAGCACCTACCTGGCAAATGTGAGGTTGTGAGTTTTGATTCCTGGTACAAAAAACAAAAAAGCAAAAAACCATGCACATGTGCGTGCGCGCACGAGCATGCACACACACACACACACACACATTAAAAAAAACCCAAACATGTTTAAGGCCAGCCTAGGTAATTTATCAACATCCTGTCTCAAAAAGGGTTAGGGATATAGCTCAGTGCAATGACCTTGAGGGGAGAATATGAGAATGAGTAAATTTTAGAAAGGATATAATGGGGGTCAGGGATGTAGCTCAGCAGCATGAATGCCTGCCTGGCAAGCACAAGGTCCTGAGTTCAATCCCCAGTATCTCCCCCCCAAAATAAAAAGCTTATAATGGAAATTAGCATCCCTCGGCTTATTCCTCTGAACTTACATCCTGCTTACTATTGGTTCAAATGTTTTTCCTGTTTTCTATATTCATCTTTCTAAATATCTTTATGTCTCTTCATTTGTGGTTGTTATCTTTCTATTTGAGAGGTGAGGATTCAGTTCTCACACCTACCCAAGTCTCTGTCTCTGGTCCAGGCAGAATATACTGATTACTGAGCTGGGGAGATAGCTCAGTAGTCTAAGTGCCTACCTGGCAAGTGCAAGGACCCAGGTTTGATCCTTGGTACCACCTGCCATGCCAGCCCTGCCCTGCCCTGCACTGAGCTGAGCTAACCTCTGAAACCAGGTGTGGTGGCACACCCCTGTAATCCCAGAGCTGGGGAGGCTGAGACAGGAGGATCACTCTGAATCTGAGCTGTGTAGTGAAACCCTGTACCAAATAAATAAAACATTTTTTAAAAAAATATACTGATTACAAGTTGAATTACTGTATTTGATCATAAATGTAAATAGCACTGGAGATGAATGAAAGGAGGTGTGGGTTGTAAATGTGCTTCCTTTCTGGTAGAGCTGTTTTCCTATTGTTTCTATTGTCTGTCAGCTTCTCAATTCAGCTTTCCATGTGGTAAGAATCTATCATTTTTTTCTGCATTCTTCTGGAATCTTCTGGAAGTCTGCCCCAGTTGGTTCTGGATGCTCCTTGTGGCTACCCCTTAGCCTGTGGAGTTTTTTTGTTTGTTTGTTTTTGGGTTTTTTTGGTGCCAGGGATTGAACTCAGGCCCTTGCCAGGCAAGTGCTTATTCTACTGAGCCATCTCCCCGGCCACCTTAGCCTGTGTTCTCACCATCCATTTAAACTTGTACCACCTCCCTGGGCACTACTGTGATCCCACTCCCCATAACATTTAGTATCTTCTAATATACCATAGGGTTTATTTATTGTGCTTTCTCACTCCTCCACCCCACTACCAGTAATAGTGACATTTCACATAGAGGTTTTTGTTTTGTGCACTGTAAATCACCAGTGCCCAGTGCAGGGCTTGGCACAGAGGAGGGGCTCAATGAACTCTGGTTGAATAGACACAATCGGGGACTTCACTGCACTCCTGTGAAGTCTTTGCTTCTTCCTGTTTCCAGATCTTGTATCCTCTTTTTTTGGTTTACTCTCTTATTTGATAGAGCTCATTCTTCAATAACTTTCTGAGAACAATATGTAAAAGATACATAATCTCTATTGTTATGTATGTGTTCATTGTTTAGTGTATTAGTTGGCAAATTGCTGCACATGTTAGATGGTAATGAATATTGGGTATCTTTCAAGGTTGTAATGTGTGTGTGTGTGTGTGTGGCCAGCTCAGCCCACCAGGGGGCGGGGCTGGCTGGCATGTGGTGCTGGGGGATTGAACCGCGGTCCCTGTGCTTTTGCTAAGCTTGTTCTGAGTAGGTGCTTTAGACCACTGAGCCATCTCACCAGCTCAAGGTTGTAATGAACAAGTAAGTCAAATAAAATGCCTATCAATCTCTGAGGACAGATTTTTCTTTTGCTTTTTTTTTTTCTTGGTATGGGAGATTGAACACAGGACCCTCACATTGGTATACATCCCCAGCCATTTTATATTTTGAGTCATGGTCTCATTAAATTGGTTAGGCGGGGCTCAAACTTTCAATCTTCTTGCCTTAGCCTCCCAGATGATGGGATTAGAGGTGTGTTCCACCACACCTGCTTAGGGGTAGTTTTTCTTACTTTTCCAGAACCAAAATAAATATAAAACAAGGGTTGTTGGGAGGTAACAACAGGAGTGTTGTTGAGTCATTGGTTAAGGGCAGGACCCAAGAGTTGGACAGGCCTGTTTTGAGATGTATGCTTTTTGATCTACTAACTATATGACAGACACAGCAGAGAATTCTCTGAAGCTTTGCTTTTCTCACAGAAAAAGTGGGAGAGATCATGATTGCTCCTTCTGGGGTCCAAGCGGACCCAATAGGGATTGTTGAAGCAGGTACTATTAGGTATGTCATCTTGGTATTGGGAGCTGCTGTCCACCTTGAGCCTAAACAGGGTAAAGCTGGAATACCCTCTCTGGAGAGAGTGAGGTGATTTGGCAGCATGAATTATGTTTTGACCCAGCAATTCCACAGGCTCAGAATGTATTGTAAGGGAAGTGTGCCTGGATTTTGGTGCAGGACAAAAAACAAGTTAGAACAAAACTGGGAGAAATTGACCAATACATGGTTCTAGAAACATTAATCCTATCCATAAATGAAATGTTCTTCTAGTGGAGTCGTCTGCAGCACTTACAACTGAGGAAGAAGATAATCATATGTCAGGAAAACTATACAGGGCACAGAATGACACATTATTAAGTGAATAAAGGAAATGGTGAAACAGTTTGGGTAGTGTGAGATCTCAGGGATGGGATTATGGTTACCTTTATGTTCTTTTCTTCCTTGTGGTACTGGGGTCTGAAAGAAGAACATTTGTACTGAGCTATATTCCTAGCCCTGTTTTATTTTTATTTGAGATAGTAAAGTGGCTAAGTTGCCCAGGCTAGGCTTGAGCTTGCAACCCTTTAGCTTCAGCTTCTAAAAGTACTGGGTTGGGCCAGGGAGATAGCTCAGTGGAATAAGCTCTTCCTTGGCAAGCGCAAGGGCCTGAGTTCATTCCCTGGTTTGGGGCGGGGGAGAGAAGAGGCTTATAAAAGTACTGGGTTTTACAGGTGTGTGGAACCACACCCAGCCTTTGTTGTTTTCTAAAGTTTCTAAATGTACAATGGACTGAAATCTGGGCAGTGAAGAGGCTGGGTCTTGGTACATGGATGTCTGAATCTCAGTCCTGGAATTTCATAAGCTTTTGTGAGAGGTAGAACTGATCCTGCTTGCTTCAGTATCCTCATCTCTAAAGTGGGACAGCAACATCAGAGCTGCTTGTTTAGAGTAATTGACATTAGGCAAGTGAGAATTCTACCACTGAACCACCAATGCTAAATAAGATTAGGAATGAAAATCTCAGAGTAAGTTCTGAATGGGTGTGTCTGTTATTGCCATTGAGCAATTTATTTAGTTCATATAAGATTATCAGTTAGTTTATGCACAAATTTTTTGAGATGGGATCTTGCTGTGTTGCTCAGACTGTTCTTTTGAGCTCAAGGCATTTGAGAGGCAGCCTCTCAAATTGAGACTACAAGTACATGTTACTGTAGCACTTCTTAATTCAACAAAATTTTTATTTAAAAGAACCATTACTTTTGGAAATAAAAAAATCATTTAAAAGTATGCGGGGGTCAGGTGTAGCTCACTTATAAAGTATATGCTTAGCATTAGCATGTGTGAGGCCTTGGGTTTGATCCCCACCATCAAAAACCTGAAAATAATGATATAAACCTTCACGTAACAAGGATGGGCTGAACTTTTTAAAAGCATCATCACGGGCGGGTGTGGGGGCACATGCCTGTAACCCTAGCACTTGGAAGGTTAAATCAGGAGGATCCATGTGAGTTTGAGGCCAATTAGGTACATAGTTCGAGCCAGCCTGAACGGATCGCGAGACCCTGTCCAAAATTTAAAAAGTCCATCATCATAATCGTCCTAATTAACATTAACGAATAAGAAAACCTACAAAACGTTTACAAGCAAAAACAAAATTCCAAGAGTGCCACTGAAGTGTTGACAGCTACTGCTGGCGCGTTTCCGCCTAATGAATGAACTCAAATCTCCGTGATTACGTGACCGTGGAACTCGTCTTATCGCACCTCAACGGGCATGCAGAGCAAGCCCGGACTCAATCGCCTCTGCCTCGGGCGTGACCTTGTGCAGGAGGGAACCGAGCCTCAGTTTCCCCGACTAGGACCGAGGATGACAGCTCGGTCCGCCCCGCCCGGCCCCGCCCCGGCAGTTCGGGATTGGTTTATTCTGTATTCTCCTCCCCAGGGAGGGCTGGGTCCCAATCCGGAAATGCGACTCGGAATAGAGGCGCCTGTGACGAACGACGGCGGGCTTGGCCAATGGGCGTGGAGGGCGGCAGCGGCACGGCGGAAGTCCAACCCGGCGTCGCGCGGGGGCGGGGCGGTGCCGGGGGCGGCGGGCGGCGGACGGCGGGGCGGGCACAGGATGAGGGCGGCCATTGCTAGGGCTCCGCCGCGGGGAGGAGGACGCTGAGGAGGCGCCGAGGAGCGCAGCGCTGCGGGGGAGGCGCCCGCGCCGACGCGGGGCCCATGGCCAGGACCACCAGCCAGCTGGTGAGCGCGCGACGGCGGGGGTGCGCGCTGGTCCGTTATTCGCGAGCGCGGCAGCAGCCCCGATCCGGCAAGGAGGGGCGGCTGGGTGCCTCGGCCAGGGCGGCGCCTCACCTGCGGCCGGGCTGGCGGGCTGGGCCGTAGGGGCCAGCCGGGGACGCCTTTCGGCCGCAGCGGGGAGCGCAGGGCCCGGCTGTGCCGGTCGCCGGGCGGCTGGGGCTCTGACAGCGCGGAGGGCGGAGGAGGCTGGGAGGTGTTACCCAGCCGGGCGGGGTGGAAGTGCCTGGAAAGTTTGTTTTCTGCTCAGCTCTGTCTGGAGCTAGTCTCTGCTTACCTTGCGATAGTGTTTGCGGAGAAGCCTCTCCAGGCCTTCACCTGAACCGGAGTCCCGGGAAGCAGAAGGTGTGGGATCTTCTGCTAGGCACCTGATGCTCTCGGCCTGGTTTCTGAATTCTTGGTTAGGGTGCTGTGGGATCCTAGGTACTCTTCTCTCTGCCGAGGCGTTTGAATGCCCCTCCTGCTGTTGACTCTGCTCGATGAGGTGGGAAGCTCCGGGAGGCCGGACTCTGAGGCCTTAGCGAGGGGAGCGAGAGCTTGACGGAGAGGAGGGGTTTTTTGGGGAAAAAACCCCAACCACTTGTTGGATGAAATGTTTCTGTTTCTTTGTGTTGCTAAAAGTATCTTTAATGTTTTTATATCATCCCTTTGTTAATTCTTGGAACCAAGCATATCGTGTGAAGTGGGCGATAATGTCACATCGCTAGCAAAATTGGCTCAAAAGACGAATCCTCTCGGGCTGGGGGTATGCCTTGGGTCTAGTCCCCAGCATTAGAGTAAACCGAAATCAATAGCAACAATTAAACAACAACAATAAAATCTCATTAAATGCCCCCAAAACTTACTTAGCTACTTATCTTCCAGAATGCAGCTTTGTTGTAGGGCTTCTTAATGTTTTTGGAAAGCCTTCAGTCCTTTGGGAATCTGACAGAAGGTATAGGACAGGTTCTTTTTTGAGAAGTGTGCACAGCTGCAAAGAGTTTTGTAATTACTTCAGGAGGCTCTTGAGTCTTCTGCAGCTCATCTATGGACTTAGGTTACAACCTAGTATTGTAGAAATGAGTGATTATCTAAAGTGTAAAAGGAGGAGGACCTGTTGAGTTGAGAGAAATGGTGAGAAGCAAAAGGAATGTGTCTGACTCTTAACAGAACTTATGGCTATATTTTAGGGCATGTGAAAAAATACATTGGGTAGCTATCAAACTCAGTACCGGCAGAGCAAGTCATGATTTTTTTTTTTTTTTTTTCTTGAGATGGGGTCTTGCTGTGTAGTTCAGGCTAGCTTTGACTATCCTCCTGCCTCTGCCTGCCTTCAGGGATTAGAGGTGTGCACCACCACTCACAGCTATCAGGAAGTTTATGTGAACTTTCACATAGTATTACTGCTGCAGTGCAAGGTGTGTATTTGATGGTTTCGGTAAAGAGCAAAAAGAGCACACTTTCTTCATGGCCTTGGCACTTTCAAATGATGGAAATTTGACTTTTTGCAATTTGATTTACATCAGGTGGCATTTTTAAATATAACAACACAGGAATCTAGCAAGCAGAAAAGAGTTAGAGTAGAGGCTAGACTTCCACCTAGCTTCCCCTACATGACATGTGTGAAAATGTGCCATATTTTTGTCAGTAATGGTAAACATACTCCCATTATTTGGTTTTTACCTGAAGTCTGATAGTGCATGATTGAAGTGGATTTGTAGCTGGACTTTAAGTTGGCACACATGAGCTGTTTGAGAAGGCCCTTGTCCCAGTTTTTGCTTGAGCCTTTATACTTGTAATAGGCAACGGGGAGCAGTACACACCGGGAAGGTGGAAAAAGGCCTAGCCTAGGGTACCACTAATGAGCCAGAGGATATAAGTCTCATTTACCAAGCCCTTACTTGAAGGCAGATACTTTGGTATCAGAGAAGTATGGTTATTGTTATGGCTGTACCTGAATATGTAGTTTGGGAACCTTTGGAGCTGGCTTGTGGGAAGGAGAAGAGTTAGGAATGATTTGGAGGTGCTAGCTGAAAAAACAGAGCTGGAACACTTGAGGTTATTCTTTTTTTTTTTTTTTTTCGGAACCGGGGATTGAACTTAGGCCATTACGCTTGCCAGGGAAGCACTTATTCCACTGAGCCACCTCCTGGGCCCCGAAGGCAGATACTTTGGTATATAATTCATTCATATTATCTTGTGATTTAGATATTACTCCCATTTTGCAGGTGGATAAACTGAGGTGAAAGAGGTTGAGTAAGAGTGTAATCTGGAAAAAATGAGTTAACCTGGCAAAGACCCTGTCATCCTATCCCTTCGGTGAAGCTCCCTCAAAAGAGGATCTGCTGGGCATCTCGGCCTAGCAGTTGGGATAAGGCAGTCTTTGGTGCCATTGCCTCGAGTATCTTTGCAGGAGTTGAGCCTGAGTGTCTTGACCATGCTGTGTTGGAGCAGGAGAAATATCTTCATCTGGAAGGATAGCACACTTTGTTTTGGCAGATGACTGCACTCTTTGACCCCTGGGTCCTGTTTTAGCCATGTGGTGTGAAAAGCAGCTGTTTGGAAAGCTCTGGTTCTCACTGAGGACTGATGCTTTGCCTGGGTGAGGCCTGAAACTATCCTGAAACGTGCAGTGGTTTAGTTAAAGGGAAAATTGGATTGGGCCGAGCAGCTTCCTGCTTTGTTATGCTCAATCATTTGCAAGGGTGCTGCATCCTTGGGGAAGATGATGGAGGAGACAGACAGTATTGAAAGAAATGGCCTTCAATTGTCACACTCTTTGGTAGCTCTCCCTTATGTGGCCTGTCTGGCATGGTGCATTTCTGTGTCCAGTGATTCCCTGGTGGCATTTACTAAACTGGCAAGGTGAGGTCTTTATCGAATAAGAGATGGAAATAAGGGCTTGTCCCCACTCCCCCATGAGCTACATCCCCAGCCCTTTTTATTTTTTCTTTTTAGATGGGAGTCTTGCTACGTTGCCCTGGTGATCCTTCTGGCTCAGTCCTGTGAAGTGCTGGGATTATAGGTGTGTACCACCATGCTCAGCTGTTCTTTTTGTTTGGTTGGTGTTTTTATTTTTTGCTCCATAATTCAGACTAGCCTCAAAGTTGTGGCAGTGCTCCTGTCTCTTGTCTCCTGAGTGCTAGAATTATAGGCATGTGCTACCATACATAGTTACTCTGTTTTTTTTTTTTTTCCCCCACAGGGTCTTGCTATGCATTTCAGGCCAGCCTTGAGCTCACTTTGTAGCCCATGCTGGTCTCAAACTCACAAAGATCCTCCTGCCTCAGCCTCTCTGAGTGCTGGTACAACCATGCCACACCCAGCCTATTCTGTTGTATTAACATGCATTTATTTATTTAGTACAGGGACTTGAACTCATGACCTTGTGCTTGCCAGTCAGGTGCTGTGCCACTGAGCTATATCCCTGGCTTACCGTGCATTTTAATAGGAAGGTTCACAGCAGCAGTCTATAGAGATGTGAGGCCTGAAAGAGATGTGGGTAGCTCCTTGAGTCAGGTTCCCGCCTCTAGACTGCCTTCAGCAAGGTTTCAGAGAACAGACCCTTTTCTGTGCATGTTCTCATCATCAGAGTCACCTGAGGCTGGGTTGGGATGCTCTGGGGCAGCTGATTAACTCTGGTTATTAGTTTGGAAACACTGCAGAAAACAGAGGCAAGCTGCTCCCCTCTTGAGATGTATTTGAAGGAGAGTGGCCTCAGCTTGCACTTTCACCTTCTCAAGGACAGACACCTTCCCTGGAATGGTCTTGGACCAAATCCCGTGGGGTTTTTTAGCTCTGTGAGGAGAACAAATTGTTACTGAGGAACACTGGGTATAGAAGTGACTCTCAGCAGGTGCAACACCAAGGCCACATGGGTGTGCTCCAGGTCTGCCCTTGAGATGACAGGTGGCAACGGGTGCACAGCACAGTTGTTTTGAAGGCATATTCAAAGGGCAGTGTAACGGGGAGGAAGTACTGTTGTGGAAATTGTAAGCTTTAGAGGTGTACTTCTTAGGTCTTCTCTGTGAGGCATTGTCCTGTGACTGCATCACACTCTTATTCAGATCCTTTAAAAATATTTAATGTTAAAAAATATTTAATGTTGCAAATAGATTGTGCATTCATTCTATAGCTGCTGTATCATAGGCAGGGTGCATTTTCTCAGAGTCATGGGGAATGTTTTCGTTCTGAGAAGAGAAAGGCCTGTTTGGGATTTTGTTTGATTGATTCGTTGCAATGATGAACTCAGAATCTTTGCACTGAACTATATTTCTAGCCTATTCGACTTTGAGTTTTTGTTATTTTGACTTTTTGAAACAAGGTCTTGTTATATAATAGTTCGGGCTAGCCTTGAACTCACTATATAGCCCAGGCTCATCTTAAACTTGTGATGAGCATTCTGCCTCAGCCTTCTGGGTGCTGCAATTACAGGTGTTTGCCATGATACCTGGCTTTTATTTTTTATTTGTTTGTGATAAGTAGTAATTGTATTCAGTTTGGGACTTAGTAAAATTAAATTTTTTTTTTTTTTTTTTTTTTCCTTTTTGAGACAGGGTCTCCTATGCAGTTCAGGCTGGCCTTGAGCTCACTTTGCAGCCTAGGCTGGTCTTCAACTCACAGAGATCCTTCTGTATCAGCCCCCTGAGTGCTGGGATTACAGGCTTGAGCCACCATGCCCAGCTAAAAAAGTTTTTTAAGAAAATTTTGAGATGGGTCTTGAAAAGCCCCTGAGTTGCCCAGGCTGTGCTGAAGTTTGTGGTCTTCCTATCTCAGCCTCCCAGCTTACAAGTATGTATATACCATTCCAATCTCCTGTTTGATTTTTGATGGCTGCTGTAGTCTGCTTTGGTGCCTGAGCTTGGTTGTATTTATATAGTTGCATAGTCTGTTTCCATTGTAGTCCAGAAAGTTTTCCTAATACTTAAATTGAATTTTTATTGCAAGAAATTCCAAATTGTTTTGAATGTGTTGAAAGAGAAACTCACTTCCTTATAAAAGATTGACTCTTCTGAGCTTCAAATCCCTTATCAGAGCACCTGAGTCAGGGTTATGTTTCAGTAGTTGCGTTACATAGAGGCCCACAAAAGGTACGCTGCTACTACTGCAGATTATTTATATGAAGAGTGGACAAGGGCAAATTTCACAGCCCACTTCTGAGTGTGAGCATGCAGTTTCCACCTAGGTTTTTACTGAGGGACCTGATGAAAGTGAGTTTCTGGTTCTTGGATGGCATGGTGACTTTCTTCATTCCACAAACTGGATGCGTGCCCTCTATGCCAGCTTCCATAGTGAGACCAGCACAGTCTATGTTTCAAATCAGTTTGCAGCCTGCTGGGAATCAGAGTATGTAAAGACACAGTTTCAGTGTCTGGATGCCAAGGACTTTGGTTCTGGAGGTTTGTGTTTTTGCACACCTGTAGGGCTGTGGCAGATCTGCCCACTGCAGAGAGCTGGTGAGTGTCTCAGCAGGTCTTTGGTCATAATTCACCCAGCTAAAGGTATGACATTTACACTGAATTTATTGTTAAATCTCCTTTTATTTTATCTTATTTTATCCTATTTTATTTATTTTTGAGACAGGATCTCACTCTGTATATTCATGCTAGCCTTGAACTCCTGCCTCAACCTCCCGAGACTGTGATTGCTGGCGTGTGCCACCACATGTGGCTCATTATTAAATCTTGTTTGTTCGATTTTTTTTTTTTTT